CCAAGTGAATAGTCTGAACGATAGATATTTTTATTATGAAGTTTAGAAAAAAATTACATATTTTTAGAACTTGGGGTTCAAAAGTTATTTCACTTTGAAAATGTGCAAAAGGTATGTTAAGGTGGTACCACACTTGACATTGCGTAGTCGCTTCATTTGTCCAAATATTTGTAGACTTCGTACAAATGGCGTCCAAATAGTATCTCTATATGTAATGGCGTGCAAATATATAGCAAACAAAGAAGAATAAATCCTCCAAACATGTTCTTTTTTGGCCGAACACAACAAATACGCAACGTCAAGTGTAGAGCCACCGTAAGCAAAATATCTATTACAAATGACAGATGACAGTTAACTGAAAAATGTCAATGTGCTCTCATGTGGTTGTTTATTTACAAAAAACAAAAATCTAAAAATACTGCTCGCTACTCAAGTGACTATTACACTTTGTATTATTAGAAAGAAAGAAAGAAAGAAAAACCATTTATTTTGCTACGACACACTACAAGAATTTAGAAACCCAAAAAATAACCTATGGTGCGTCGCAGCGCAAAAGGCAATTAGGAATGATCCTGTTAATTCAGCAAGCATGATGCACCTATAGAGTTTTAAAGAGTATGCCTCACAATCTTTTTCATTTCTTAGGTGCCTACGAAAATGCAAATTCATAATGTAAGCGACTGTCATTGGGTAGAAGGCCTACATTTAGCAGTGGAAGTCTTGTGGCGGATATGATAAAACTAATGTCTCACTTCACCTTGAATCTTGCAGGTAGATAGTCTCAAGGGTCTCAAGTTAATTCGATTTAAACTTAGCTTAGCTCTTTGAGAAAGTATTTCTTCTGAAAACTGGTTGCTTAGCACGCATGTAAGGATTAATTTCTAATAAGTAAGTCAAATTAGTAGAATCATCAACATTTTCATCATTAAGTCTATAAGTGGCCACTGCTGACCGAAGCCTCTTCTCGCATGGAGGTTTGAGCATTAATCACCATACTAGCTCAATGTGGGTTGGTAATTCAAACTTATAATAAGAAATTATAAGCCCATGTTTCCTCACAATGTTTTCCTTCACCATTCGTCAGCGGTGTCTTTGTACTTTCTTATTGAATATACCAATAACTCGGAAAAAAGACACATTGGACAAAAGGTACTTTGCCGTTGGTAGGTTTCGAACCCGCACTCTCATGCATGAGAAGCGGGCTTCTTAAACCTCTGGGCCACCACATTACAACTAAAGAAAATGTAAAATGAAAATGAACATTTTTGGTATAAAACTAAAGCTATCTAAATTAAATATGGCATTTATTTTATAGATTGATTCTTAAAATCACTTTTATCAAGATGGAATATATAGTTACTTACTAGGTTAAAATAAAACAAATGTATTATTTTGAAATACTTTTATTTCATTGTATTCAGGTTGTTTCTAGGAGTACTTCATCTAAAAAGAGAACAGGCCGTGTCATAGGTACAGCAGACATCAATTGCTGATATCTGTAAACAAGTAAGATAACTGTAAATAAAGTAAACAAAAGTACATTTTTTCCTTTAGTTTTATATGTTATAATAATAAGTCTGATTCCCTATCTTAAAATGGAAAAGATAAAAATAAATATTTGATTACATTACTTCATTTTATAACATTTATTATAGTTATTCGTATAACACAGATCATAGGAGCTCAAACAGCATGCTAATTAATAAATTATATTATAACATGAGTATAAACCTATTAGAAACCGCTTATATACTCCACATAGATACATAATTATGTAGGTACATTATATTGAGAATGCATACCTGTTGAAGCTTTGAGAGCCGAACAACATCATCCGGCCTCATCTGTTCTACAAATGGCAATGTTAAAGTGAGGCTTAGTCCATGTTTACATAATACATTACTTCCTGATAGTGAACACTGTGAGGTGGTATGTCAGGTTGTGGTTTTATAGTTTCGACTCTTGTACGGTCTCTCAGTCAGTATGGAACATGATCTTCATCATGGGAAGTAAGCTAAAATAAGTAATATTATTAGAATATGATATTGACTTTAGATTACACTGTATATAGATAATAGTATGGTTAAATTATGCTTTATTACCTCTTGTGGCTGAATCCAATCAAATACTATATGAGCCAGTCTTTACTCCTGTTTGTTGGCGCCTTCAATTAAAACCCTGCGTCACCTTATCATTGCAATGAATCACCCATATACGACACAAACATGCCAGTGACCAATTTGTTTGCTGGACATACTTTCAGCAACATCCGATACATTGCTAATTGCCAGCAAGCATTGCAAATATGGTCGGTAGGAGAGATCTAGAATAAAAAGAATAAAATGATACATTATGGGTAGATAACACTATGCGCCTTCTTTTATTCAGGCAACATGGTGACTTTCGATATGTTATGGGTAAACTAGGTACTTACATCTCTAGGATAAGTCCACATTGGGATATTGTTGACCACGTCTAATCTTCACTCTCATTTTCTAGAGCATGCCGTCTCATGTGCGACAAACTCTGAATGCAATTAATACACTGTAAATTCATCATCGCGACAAAAACAACACACTGCACAAAACAATGTAAATAAGTGTCTTTTCGCAATTGTCACAACAATGATTCCAATAATACCAATTTGGGCTACGGAGGAACGGTTGCCAAACTCAACGTATCACCAGATGAATAAAATAACTTCAAATTCAACAAACACATCATAACATCGCATTTGAAACAAACAGCAATGCGCCAGTATTGACAAATTAATTGTCAATGTCATCAAGACAAATGCCAGTTCAACATTGCCATAATATTCAAGTTTGTTAAAATGTTAATTATCATTAATAATCCATGTAAACGTAGATTTAGATTGGATGTAGATTTTTATATTTACTTATAAAAATGTTTGAAATGGAAAGGAAAATATTTCATTGATAGATATTAAAATAAATGAGTTTATGAAATAGCGAAATTCAATATGCTCTGATTTCATCTTTACGCATGGCAACTTTGTAAACGTCAATCGCGGTTCGTTTTACGTATAGTGGATTGCTTTTTATCATTATTGAATATCAGTTTTTCTAGGGTTTCCCAAGTTTTAAAAATCTATTAAATATGCTAACATAACGTACTTAGGAGGTTCTATAATGACCCAATTTTTTAATGACAAATGTTTTTTTAGCGAAGCGGTACAAAATCTGCCGTTCTCCTTTGCACGTAATCCTTACCGATGTCGTAACTTGTAATAAAATTTGTTAAAATGCTTCATATAAGTATACATGCACAAATACTGACAATGATTTGCATTAAAAATTTGTTTTATACCAATTTCAGCAAATATTTAAATTTTAATCACATACTCAAACTTCGTTCTCACTAACAACTTCTTCATTTTCACTAATTTTCATTAACAACTTTATTTTCACTAACTTAACTTTATTTTAGTGAAAATAAAGTGAAAAGTCAAGAGAAAAAAGCATACTCCATTTCCCTTTATTATTTAAATCACTTTAATAGGGAATAACTTAGGTAAAAAATTGAGAGTAGCATTCTTGCTACTAAGATAGACTTAAAGAAGAATATCGGAACATAGTCCCACACATCCCCCTCTCCACTAACTACATTATAGACCTTATTTCCAATGTTTAGAGACTAATTTTGTATGAACAAATTTAGGGGATGATTTTGAACAATTTTCAACGGGTTATACGAATTGGATTTTAGAGATGATCATGAAAACAAGACATGGTCAAGAAGCTTTTAAATAACTGTAACACTACGTAATACAACTGCACTCTTATAGAGTTGCTACTGATGAATGCCAAAACTAATTGCGAACTTTACAATACAAAATCACCTTTCAAACGTAATGATGATCGATCATCGAAGCCAATCTATTCGATAATCGCCCTTTACTATCACTTGAGGAAGTGAACGCGTAACACGTACACATAAAGCCAAGAGTCAACCGCAAGTTCATGACTTTGAAAAAGACTTTATTGCGAGGTGGTAAGAGCGCTTTTTGTGTAACTTTCGATGTAACTAGGGTTGTCTAAGTTGTCGATGTACAAAGGAGCTAAGACCGTTCTCGCTCTCTTCCGCGCCGGTAGCGACTATGACGTACTAAGAGGCGGTGAGTCAGCTGCTCCGGTTATCGTTAATGAGTCAAGATGACATTTGCACAGGACATTCACTACGAAGGTCAGTACACCTCGTAGGCGACAACGGTAAGATCAAGGCTTTGGTTTAACAAGTTTAACCACGGTTTCAATGAGCACCTACAAGTTTAAGAACATTAAGGCTTTTTTGTTGTTAAAAATTGCGTTTAGTGCTTTGGGCAAACTGACTGGTGTAGCCAAATAATTAATTCTAATTGTCTATTTATTTAATACATATTCCATTACGCAATGTCAAATCTGTCAGCAAGTGTATTATATCGTTGCGGTTAAGGTTTCAAATTAAACGATCACTTTACCGCTCCACGATCGCGTTTGGTCACACGATCACACGAATAACTTGCGATTCGATACGAAGCCGTCATGATTTAAGAATTAGGTCCTTGATACTTTAATAATAAATGTTATAGTTGATTAAGTGCGATATGTGGTACAATAGATATGTGTGCTGATATCTTTCCGCGTCGTGAGTGGACGGTGGCCATGAACAAATTGACAGAGAAGACAAAAGGAGCGGATTTGAAAGAAGATCAGCCTTGTGGATTCGTGTTTATTGTTTTCAATTAAAACTCGTGTAAGGATAATCACGTACAGCCTCGCAATACAGGGTTCAGTAGGTGAATGTCGAATGAAAGTTTGTTCGAAAATTGTAATGATTATAATTAATGTTAATGAGAATCCATGACTTTGTACTTGACTGGTCCGAAAGGTCGTTGAAAATCCTGTCTAGTTTACCTTTCTTGACATTAACTCGAGACGAATGTAGAAAGTAGTTTTGAACACTGATGTGGATGTTAATGTCATTGTAATTGTACTCACCTTCGGGCCAAGTTGATGGATATGTCTAGAATGAGCTCGCCAACGCTCGCGAAATGTTCAGCCTTCCAGTCTCCTTTTGGTAGTGTTACCACTGTAAAGATAATGATGGTAATGGTTTTTATTCATTTTCGAACATTAAGCTCTATTGTGTACCTAACAAGATTTTAGGTAGAAATCTATGATAAGATCTGATAGGTAGGTAACCATTATTGAAATCTGAAGACTATTCTATGCTTCGAAAGGTCTATACTCGTATGTGTAATAAAATTCATTATATTACTTTTAAAGAACATGAAGGATAGAATACAGTTCAATTAGCTGACGTTCTACCGAATTTGGTTAAGCCTAAGACTAAATACCATATCTGTAGACTAGAGAATACAATTTATTACCAGCCAAAAATAAACGCGTTGGCATTGCACTGATCAAAAAAATTTCTACAAAGTATATTTATGTTGTTTTGCATGATTTCTCAATACTAATATTAATGTAAGGTTAAACGCTTGCCCCCTTCACATTAGAATTGTCAAAGTTTAAAGAACATTTTTGTACATTGAAGGATGACTTGGCAATATATTTTTGATTCGATGATGTAAACAGCACTAAAGTTATGTATTACTAGCTTTTACCCGCGGCTTCGCTCGCGTCACAAAAGGATAAAAAGCCAATGTGACATATACCAATACACACAGCGCCATCTATACCAATACTTTTGTTTTCCCTCGGGAATATCACATTTTTCCGGGATAAAAAGTACCCTATTATTTAATCTTGACTTCTAACTATACATCTGCAAAAATTCAAAGCAATCGGTTTAGTAGTTACGGCGTTAAAGTGGAGCAAACAAACAAACTCACTTTCCGATTTATAATATAAGTAAGGATCCGATGATGTAAACAGTATCTAACTGAAGTTTGTATTATGTTATAACTGTATTATTATTAGTTGAAAGTTTTGTATAAAATGATGATAAGAGGAAAGATGTGTTCCGGGTCACGCACTTAATTATATCGTGGTAATGTGACTTGCGTGTTTTATACGCAGATGACACAAGCTCTTGGAACTGCTTTTTTACCGAAATTATTCACTTCAATGAATATTAGACTGAATAATAAATAATTAAACATTTTCAGTAGTTATGAGTTTTTATTCTGCAGCATATTGAGCTAAGCGACTTATCATTTTAATGTAATTGTTAATGTTGTATTTAGGTAACCACCCAGACTATATTTCATGCACTTTAAGTAAGATTTATTACGCGAACTATTTCATATTCATTCAACTTAATAAAAATTAAAAAGAATTACGACCTGTGAATATGAATGTATTTTAATACTTACAGATTCTGTTTCTGGCTTCAAGATAAGCTTGATTGATGGCTTCGTATGTGATGCAATTGGACTGTCCTTCGTATCCGCTGAAACAAAAAAAAACACGTTTAATTGCTTTGCGCCATAAAGTTTATTACTCTGTGGTCTGTGGAACGATTTCTATAATTTAATTTTAAAATAAATACTGCTGGCATGCGCTGACAGTTGTCGCGCCTTTTTTGGTGAATGTGGTCTTTCAATGTAAGTATTTCATTGTTTTTATTAAGGTTTCTATGTAAGTTTACGTCAACGTATGTACCATTTAGCTTTTTGATTCTTTAAATTATAAAAACTTTTTGTGTAATAATATCATGATGTCACAACTGGCAAAGAATGACCTGCATGCTATAAATATAAGAACTTCTACTAGGTAATTCTATCGAGGAATAAATAGATGTTGTTATAACCTTAAGTCATAACATTAAGACATATGTTCTGTACTGTTTTCTAAAAGCAACACCACAAGCAACATAATGTACCTACATCAACAGTTTCAAACAGCGCTCATCAAAAAGTACTGAACGATGAACTTAAAGGTGATGCAAGCGGCCATTTCCTACGCACATTCCATATAATTAGCAGCAGTAACTTACTCGATATCAAAACCAAAATACACATTTATTTGCGAGTGGCCTCGTGGCCTACTTCTGATCGCAACTTAAATGTATCTAAGGCCGCCGGTTACTTAACTAATGTGATAGTAATCGTCGTTATTCAACATGTTTTAAGTGTTTTCACATGATTCTGATATTTGGTAACGTCTTTAAAAGATGTTTCGCTCGATATAAAACTGCTCGTTACCTTTCTAGATAGAGAAACAAATGAAATATTACGTGAAACTGTTTGTGAGAAGTTTAGAACTATTATTAGCTGATTAAACAAAGAAGATTCTGATTGCTACGCTTTGTCAATTGTTTAATGTTAGGAGTTTTGTATTCTTTAAATAACAAGTTAGTTCTAAATTATGTTTTTACGGTTTTAGCAGGGTGCGCGGTCTCGGCAATGTCGGCTGCTCATGAGGAAGAGCCCCTCTGTGGCTCGAAACTAGTAGAGCTTTTCTCAGTATATTCACGTGAGTGACTCGCGATTTTTAGTTAATTTAGTATGTCTCACGGTAGTTATAATAAAGACAGTAGAGATAGGAGATTTAAGTTTAATAAAAAATCCTGGTAAAAGACAGTTCTGACTGTCGTAAACTTGTCTGTTTTGATAAGTAATGTTACCTCTAGTTATAATTTTAAAATGAGTTTAGTAAACAATTGGGATGATGACATGGTATGAAAATTAAAAATGTAATTAGTCCGTAAGTTAGGTAATTAAAAAATATTCGTATAATAAAACAATATTTAGATAAAACGAATCAAAGTTTAGGAGTGGGGGCTACAACGTCATTTCTACGTATTAATTGTACATAGAAGTGACGTCACGACATTTCCAATCAATATATCGTCGAAAGTATTCGTTTCTGTAAGAAAATAAAAAATACGTGTCTAATGTTTTAAAATAATCTACCAGACGGACATTAAAATAAAAATTAGGCATCTACCCTATTACTAGAAATGTTTAAAATATGTTCCGTTGCTTGATAGAATTAGAATTCCCTTAACACGTTAACCGCCGCGTAGGTCACCGGTGACCTACGTTAGCGGAGGATTTTCCTTCAGTAGTTTTCTGTTGGCAGTCAAAGGCTTAATGATATGAAATAATGTCACAGACAAGTCATTATGCCAAAATATACTGATCGCATATTCATAACACGTACGGAAGTGGTCACGAGCAAAAAAATCATAATAATATGGAAATCACTATGTCATCTAGCGCCTCCTAAAAAGTTTTTTGCTAATTCGTAAGTAGTTTTGGGTTCCCTTGGATGAATATTGAAACTATATTTTTGTGAAATTGTATTTCTTTTTTTTTATGGGATAAGCCGGTAAACGAGCAGACGGATCACCTGGTGGTAAGCAATCGGTGCTGCCAATGGGCACCTGAAACACCAGAGGTTTCAAGTGCCTTCGGGAATTGTGAATTTGAGGATTGTGGGGCATTCGGGGATTGGGGAGACTGGGGAGGGGAGGTGGTGGTAATTGGGCCTCCCCCGGTAACCTCACTCACACGACGAAACACAACGCAAGCGACGTTTCACGTCAGTTTTCTGTGAGACCGTGGTGTCACTCCGGTCGAGCCTTTCGTGCCGAAGCATGGCTCTCCCACACCTAAAATAATCACACTTAAATCTTGTGCTCAATTAAATGACAGAATGAGGGATAACTCGAAAGTGTCTGTAGGTAAGTAAATTAATCGAAATAAATGCTTTCCCTTTCACTATTTATGTTATGAGTCCCATGTAATAGGGGATAAACCCATCGCCATATACCGGGCACAATTCCAGATTCCGTGCTACTACTGGGTTTTGTTTTTAAAAAGCCCGTTTTGTTTTTACTTTGCCCGACCGGGGAATCGAACCCGAGACCTCGGCGGTCGCACTTGCGACCACTCGGCCAACGAGGCAGTCGAGTAACAATAAATATAAAATATACAATAAACGGAACCATCTACATTCGTGTGTTCACTATAAATACAGAAAAGTCGTAAATTTTTATTATTATCTCAGATTTGTTCCGGTTTCGAGTCACAAGACTGAATATATTTACATAATTATATGTTTGTGATATCACATGAACTGTTATGTCGGACAACAAATTGTTATTGTATCTATTAGAAAATAACTTTCATTGTTGTTCTCATAAAACTGTTTTAGAATTTTATTGGAGACTAGCTACTTCCGCGCGGTTTCACACGCTCTGCTCAGATCCTATTAGTCGTAGCGTGATGTTTTATAGCCTATAGCCATCCTCGATAAATGCACTATCGAACACAAAAAGAATTATTCAAATCAGACTTGTGGTTACGGAGATTAGCGCGTTCAAACAAACAAACAAACAAACAAAAAAAACAAACTTTTCCGCTTTATATAATATATAAGATATAAGATATAAGATAAGATATAAGATGGTATTAGGTAGAGTGTAGATATTTTTACAAGTCACAATTAGGAATCCATGCCTGGTACCATTACTGCCTGGTTTTTTTTAGTAGAAATAGTAAAAACTACGTTAATTTTGAAAGCTATAAGTTTTAATATACACTTAACTGCAAATTTGCTTCCTGTGAATGGTACATATTACCAAACGAAAACATAAGTTCACAGCATTCTACAGCCCAAGTAGGCTTCTATTACGCACAAATAGAAACTAAAGACCGTGTGATCACCATCAGACATAAGTTTCCTTAAGAGACGGTGTACACAGTAAAATACTTTATATTCCATTCTTAAAAACATCGTAAACCGTAATCTACGAATCTTGACACCGTTTAATTAAAGACTTGTTTTACATCGTGAAGCAATAACGACATGTTTGCACGTATTGACGGTAGTTAGTGGTTACCAAACGAGATGTTCCCACGTCCAACGAGTCCACGATACAGATTACTGAGGTTCTTCGATTCTCATCATCAAGCCTTTCTACTGAGCCTCTACGCACGTCGAGCTAAACAACCAGTTATCATGGTCTAGCTTTATATAATCTTTCTCCACGTTCAACGGTCAGATTATACTGGTTTTGTATAGTTAGATGTGTCTACTTGTCTCTCACATTGCAACAGACCTATGAAGCCGTTACGCTAGTTTTGCGATACGCGAATATTAAGATGTGTGGTTAACGGTTGTTTAACATCTGTTTTGTTAACCTGATTGGTAAATGACTGGGCATCTTCTTGTGTGCTCTTGTAATCACGTGGAGTAAATAATTCAATATTTGCATTGGCAGTGTTTGTTTGGTTTTAGTTAGACAAAGAGTTATGAATTAAAGTTTCGCTAGAAGGGGCTTCTGTGCTATGTTTTCCATTTCCCATTAAAAAAGTAATGCAATATTTTGCAATACCTAGCGGTTGACTATCGAACATTCATATGGAAATAGAAAGTAAATTAAACCTGACACTCCACAGTTGGCACCAAGCTGTCTATACGCCTTAAGTATCTACCTACACTTAGTATAATAGCCTTAGGCTAAATACTGTCTTATGTGGTAGACAAACGGAATTTAAATCTCAGATCGCACTGATCTTTCTCAATCTCACCCACTCGTAGTGCAGTGTGCACATTCCTACCAAGTTCATAATTATTGAGTAGACTTTACATTTTACTGGTCTCCTCTCGTTTTAACTGAAACAAACCGGATCCCACAGCATTATTAGAATTTTGGTTGTCAATAAATAATTTTATAGCTATACTAAGCTATCTACCTAGTATTATTGTTTGTTAGGATGGCGTTTGGCCACCATCGCGCTTTTATTTTGGGCTGACTACACAATTGTTGAAATCTGACGGTCCAGTCACCGCTGTCTACCGGTTTAAGCATCTACTTTTAACAAAAGAATTCAAAATACGTAGGCCAGCCGGTAATATGAGATTCCTCATATTCTTAGAATCGATAAAATATCTTCGGTATTTTGATTGCCGTTTCGCTTAGCAGTGATTATGATGGGTTTGCGACTGGTTTACCGTTTTGCCTCGATATTGTCAAGAGGTGACCGAGTGTTAGACAAACTTAGAAGGTACTGGGAACAGGTCACACCGTTATACGGACGCACAGACTGACAATGTTTGCGATGATCAATGTGTTCGTGCGTGATTGACGATGCGACGACTGTACAGGCAGTTAGAACTTCTATTTAACTTTGGGTTTGACGAAACTTGTCTAGACGAAGAAAATATTTACATTTTACATTTGTGTTATTATGAAATGTTTTTCTTGAGAGTTGTGTTTGTTAATTTTTGTTCAATTTCATTCACCAACACCAAAAAGGGCTTAATGCAGTTAACTATACTGTTATACTGTTTATAAATTCCATTGATTGAATTCTTCTCCTTCTTTGGCTTCGGGCATAACTACCGTTCAAGTGTAATCAATCCGAAGGTTACACATACAACCTTATTCGTACATAAACACGTGAAGTTATTCAACATTAACGAATGCAGATTGTATAAGAGAATAAATGAACGCCTTTATTTCGTACTTCCATTAATTATTTTTGGTACAAAAGCCTTTTGAAAGGTTGCTACTGGTAAAGTTCATCTTCCATAATTTGCTTTGACAGAGCGTTACCATGGTGATGAGATACATAGTTTACGGCGTAACCGTACTAAAGGTACGAACAAATTAAGCGAAAGGATTTTGAAAGTGAATGTGATCTGTCAGTTAGCTAATGCCACGGTTCGTAGAGATGAAAGCATTGGAGATCTGCGTGGTGTTACGCCATCAGAGGTCAAACTGCCGAGTAGGTAGTGTACGGCGTACGGACAACAAAAGATTATTATACGTTTTGCTGTAATTGCAGAACTGGTGGCTACATGTAATTGCATGTTCCAAACTTTAGACATTGTTGTTTAGAACTTTAGAAAGCATCTATCGTTTCTTTCAGTATATTTAAAACGTGAGTACAGTACAGGATCCTTAGTTAACATTTTTAACTTAAACAAAATTTAATTTAAGTCACAATTTATACATCTGATGAAGTCAATTAAAAATTCATCTGACGATTGGAAGACGGGTGAAAAGTGAAATTGGACCGTCATTTTGTGACTAATCGTTTATCGTTTTCCAAAACAAAGCTCAACAGCATAATAGACATGAAAAAATAACAAAGACCTATGTGAACAAAGTTACTTCCGTGAAGGTCATTGACTTAACAAATAATTATCAGTTGAATGGATATTTGTTAGATCATTTGTCACGTATCGTAGAGAAAGATAAGTGAGTGTCAAGTGTGTCGCAGACGGAAGTGTGTCAAGTTTGCGCCGGCGCGTGACGTAATGGAGACAGTAAAGATACTCCCGCGCAACCAAGTGAGGTGACATTGTAACTGTCGTAGTTTGGTATGCAAAAGTCTGTAAAACTGTTTTGGATTATTATAGACAAAAATGAGTTTTGAATGAAAATAATAGGACTTTTCCATCTACTTGGTTATGGTTGTTGTAGAGCTGTTTTTCAGCATGTGTTAGTGTCAGACTATTACTGACTAAAAACCACCCCGTTCCTTCTCCTGAACGTCGAGCCGGCGTCCCGGCTACAGTAACAGTAATTAATTGCAACAACTATCGAGTCAAATTCGAGAGACTTTTTTTATTATGCAAAGAAAAAACTGATAACTTTTCGTAGGAGTTCCATTTCCAATGAAATTCAAGTTTCCAATAAAAAAATAAAAAAATAAATAAGTTTCAGCCAAAATCAACCTATTAATATCGTAGTATTACTTATGATTCTTTTATTTAATGAGATTCTTTTAAAATACTCATACAATTACTTAATTACAGCTTTCTTTCATTGTCTTCCTTTTATCTATCGTTCATGGCAGATTTATGACAAGTTTAAATATTATTTACTTAAGTATTTACATTGTGGAATGGTACAAATGACTTCTGTTCAATACTAGGTCTTATAATAGAAGTGCTAGTGGTCGCGAAAGCGTGACATTTAACATACGTTCGATGGGACAAGTGACGGTGAAATTGACGTTCTAAAGGTAATTTGATACAGATGTGCAGTCCCCAGGCTTTTACCGATCAATCTACGTAACAGCTGCCTCTTTGTAGAAGAGTTCAACTACTTACTATTACTTAGCCGCAGATAGGCGTGAAGGATTTTGCGTCCACAAAGAGAAATAAACTTCAGTTATATTTGGATGGATCGAAAAAGGCAAAACTAAGAATTGTATGTTTTTTTATGGCATTAGCCGGTAAACGAGCAGACGGATCACCTGATGGTAAGCAATCGGCGTCGCCTATGGACACCTGGAACACCAGAGGCATTACAAATGCGTTACCGGCTTTTTGGGGATGAGGAGTTTGAGGATCGATGGGGATTCAGGGATTGGGGAAGGGGAGGGTAATTGGGCCTCCGGTAACCTTACTCACAAAACGAAACACAACGCAAGCGTTGCTTCACGTCAGTTTTCTGTGAAGCCGTGGTATTACTCCGGTCGAGCCGGCCCATTCGTGCCGAAGCATGGCTCTCCCACATTTAAAATGTACTTTAATTCTCTTACCAGTTATGCTTGCAAAGGATATGCAAGGCCAAGAACTTAATAATTTAATTAAACATTAGATATATTATGTTATTTCAAACTGATAAATCAATTAACTATGACATTCTATGAAACCTACTTTTCAAAAGCTAATTGAAAGACGTTTAAGCTGTCGGTTAAGTTAAACCAATACATTATGTATGGAAATGGTAATTTTCAACCAATTTAAATTGTCGATATGTCAGTACCGGTATTTGTAGGTCTTTTGGGTCGCGTTTGGGGCCCATAGATATAACATTAAAATTATATTACACAGTTACTTTTTTTTGCTGATACATAGCTACAAGTATCACATTTTATGAGAAGCCTTTAAGAATTTTATTGTATTTGAAGTTTGTGTTATTTTTTCAATGGGCTCCATCTGCGGCCCACTTAACCTCCACGATGCGGCCCTGTTATACAACTAGTACGCATACTGCCGCTTACTTAAGCGACCTAATAGCCATGCAATAGAGCTATCTATCATCGTTAATGTTAATATATGTTGAGAAATATTCCTTATTTGCTATAACGGAATGAAATTATTATATGTAGTACATATTGTTATGTAGGTTATGAATTAATGATACAAGTTGATCGTACGAATATTGTTACATTAACAAACTATTGAACGTTTCTGCCTTAGGGCAGTATGCATGATTTGTCTTTAAACAAAACTTTCCTTGTTCCCTTTTGTGCAATATGCATGTTAACAAATAGCTCTGATTTATTTATTTTTTTATTATTGCTCATTGGATAAATGAAATCTAACCTAAATATTATGTACTTAAGGGCTATGTTTTCGACAGTTTACCTTGAATTTCACCTGATATCAACAGTACTTTTGGTTTAAATATTGCAATAATTAAACGATTGAAATATCAAGTATTGCGTTATTCTCAAGAGAAAAGTGTTGAAGTACTTACAAGTTGCCCTTGAGTAGGTTGATGCTGTAGTCGTAAGCTGTGGACCGAGCAGGTCCGTTGAGGTACAGTGCACATTCGCTGCTGTCGCCCAAAACGTGCGCAGGGGCAATCGGCGACAGCGCAGCCGCGTACGCGCAGCATAACGCTGCCATTAATATCCTGGAATGAGAATAATAATTATTAATTTTTGCTGTGCCAAAATATTTTATGAGAACGGAAGTCGTAAATCAGAGAATATACATTCTTCATTATAGGTGTAGCGAAAGAACGATAACCTGTTCAATATTGATTGATGTCAATTTCAGATATAAATGTTTTTATTTATTTTATGTTGTCTGTTTCTAAACACAACTGTTTAATTACAGTGCTGTGAGTTGTAAAAACTAAACTGAAGTATTAATTAAAATCTGACGATTTCTATTTCACTATATATTAGAATACTACAATATAAAACATTGGTTTTCTCCCAAATCGATTTTCACTCGTCAGCTTTTGTTGTTCGAAAATCAATTTTCTTTAAATTTCGAATACGTAATTGAATTGAATCGGTTACATGGGTTTCGATTTACAAATTGTCATTGCATCGTAATTCGACGCGGGCGCCAGCTTCTGGTCTTTTAAGTACCTAAACCGGGTCATTATGAGCATTTTTATGTGTTTAAATACCGCATAACACATTATAATTGTGGGTTAATTATAGACTGTATTACGTAGTGATGAAGTTTATTAAAGAAAGATACATTGTTGGAAGTATACGTAGTACTAGTAGTTTAGACTAGCTTTTACCCGCGGCTTCGCTCGCGTCACAAAAGAATAAAAAGTAGCCTATGTGACATATACCAATACACACAGCGCCATCTATACCAATACTTTTGTTTTTCCTCGGGAATATCACTTTTTTTCCAGGTTAAAAAGTACCCTATTATTTAATCCGGACTTCTAACTTTGCGTCTGCAAAAATTCAAAGCAATCGGTTGAGTAGTTACGGCGTGAAGGTGGAACAAACAAACAAACTCACTTTCAGATTTATAATATTAGTAAGGATAAGGATAAGTAGGATTTTAAGTAATGGCTATTTTAAGTAATAAATTATTATGTTTTTAGATTTACTCACGTAATAATTTGACGAGGAACTCGACTAGTTTCAAGCCATGCTTGAGGCTCATATTATGTGAGTAAGCCGAAAAACATAATAATTAATTTAGTATGTTTGTCTGTCGAGCGTTATAACATAAAAATTGCCAATAATACTAGTGGTGTTGTATTACCATAATATTCATATACATACATATTAAATAGGGATGACCCTAAGGTTATTTCGTTAGTGATTTCGTACGACGAAAATTATTGCAACTTGTATCGATTATAAGTTTAAAACAAGCTGTCTATGTTTAGACATAGTACGTCCTTGTGCCTTATATGTTGCCACACTAAATACATACTTAATGTTTATGAGGAAAATTCCAATTACATTTAGAAAGTTTTTAGACTGCCTCGTTGGCCGAGTGGTCGCAATTGCGACTACCGGGCAAGAGGTCTCGGGTTCGATTCCCGGATTGGGCAAAGTATTACTGGGTTTAAAAAAAAATCTCAGTAGTAGCACGGAGTCTGGAACTGTGGCCGGTATATGGCAATAGGCTCACCCCCTATTACATGGGACTCATAACATAAATAGTGAAAAGTGGGTGTAACATTGTGCAGTGGTATAATGTGCACCTCTGCCTACCCCTTCTAGGATAAAAGGCGTTATGTTATGTTATGCTATGTTTGTCGCACTTTTGGTAATAAGTTTCGAATTGAACCACACTTACAATTTTAATATTTTGTCAGAAACCGATATGAAAGGGTTTGTTTTGTTTCTGTTATTGTATATACTTAGAATGTAAGTTACGTAACTTTAAACATAAACCATTAGAGATTGTATCAAGAATTTCAAGAACAATAATACTAAGAATTACTTTATTTTTTATCTCTTGACCGCTCTCTGACAAACGGACGTATCTTTGTCGTTATAGTAACAAATCCAGTGCACTTTACTTTTCTTTATACATACATCTATGATGAAGGAGATAAATGAAAGTATCTATCTCCTGAACTACCTTCCTCGTACTTGAGACTGGCCACTTAACCTTTTGGTCTCTAGTCTACATAATGCCATTTACTAACTTGTTTGTTTTAGAGTAAAAGAGGAACATGTTACTATAAACGATCTACTCTCTTTAGCAATGGATTTTCCACACTATGAGTCTATAATAAGGCTCAAAATTCCTTTAACAAGTATAGGGTAGCTTGATATGCTGTCTTTCAGTACTTTAGTATATTTTGTGTAGTGAAAGCTTGACCAATGATGTTCTAACCTCCCAGTATTGACTTGTCGGTAGTTCAAGTGACTGATGATTTCACTTGACACTTTAATATAGTACCTACGAGATTAGGGTCGTAACTTATTTGTTGGTGTCAAATAACAGATTTTTTTTTTAAATGAAGATATATTTGTAGTTTTGATAGATTGACGGGATCTTGGAAATGTTTTCCTAATTTGAAACTTAAAGCGTTGTAATTGAATAGATATTTTGAGTGTCCCACGAGTAAAGATGAGACCAAACTGTTCCCATATTTACAGTCTGTTGGAGATTGTTTGGTTTGACCGTGATGCAGTGATTTTGCAAGTGATCCAAAACGCATGCGCGTTTACTACAGAAGCAAATGCAATGCGTATTTCAAAATTACAGTTGTTATTTGGTAAGGTAAACTAGAACATCATTTCGAATCTTAGTCTTTATATTTCGCAATATGTAAAGACGTACATTCATGTGAAGCAACATTAAAATATAATTAATAGTCTAGACTAACAAGCTTACAGTTAAACTTTACAAGCCTAGAACTAGTTAAAAATAATTATCCAAAACTAAATGCTAGCTAATTACGAAACCACTGCATTCCTGACACAGATATCAATAGAATTCCTTTAAAGAGGCGAGTAATTATATTTTTAATCTATGGTTCTGCAATCACAGAGCTGGCTGGAAATATTTTATGACAATTCAATTGGCGCGAAAAAAATGCCATAGATAAGCTTAACACTAGAAGGTAGACACGTACTTGGTACGTTTCATGTTTAAATGTATGGGCTAAAGAAATATGATCATAAATATTGTATCATATAAAATTATAACATAGCCCGTTACTTCATATAGTAGGTATCATATCCTTTCAAATTCAAAGCCTTGTCATAGTCCTATCGTAAATATTAACGACTATGTTTAAATGATACATATCCATATACATAATGTCTAAATACAAGTAGGTATTTATTATATTCAAGTAGCTAATATATGGACTTTATTTTGACTGCACGGTTGGTGCGGTGGCTGGGCAACCGGCTGCCGTGCAACGTGTCGCGGGTTCGATTCCCGCACGGGACAACACTTAATGTGATCTACAAATTGTTGTTTCGGGTCTGGGTGTCTTTGTGTTTGTGAACTTGTATGTTTGTAACCGCACCTACGTCACAGGAGAAAATCCTAGCGTGAGGCAACGTTTTTTTTAAAAAAAAATGTAATGTTATGATTTTGTATGTTAGTGTAAAGGAACTTGCTGCTAAGCAAAGAATTAGGTATGTATGTAGATCAAGTATTAATTAAGAATGAGTTATAACATAAAACGGGTATGTTCAATGATGTTAGATTAATATACGTATAAGCGGTTAGTGCCTCGTTGGGCGAGTGTTCTCATGTGCGACTGCTGGGCAAGAGGACTCGGGTTCGATACCCGGGTCGGGCAAATTTTAAAAATTACTAAGTTTTTAAAAATAAATCTCAGTAGTAGAACAGAGTCTGGAATTGTGCCCTGTATATGGCAATAGGCTCACCCCCTATTACAAGGGACTCATAACATAAATAGTGAAAAGTGGGTGTTGCACTGTACAGTGGCATTTAAGTGCTGTAATGTGCACCTCTGCCAACCCCTTTGGGGATAAAAGGCGTCATGCTATGTTGTTGTTGTAAGCTGTTAGTATAATAGCTGCAATTGGTTGCTAGATTTAATAGCAGTATTAATTGAAAAAGAGTTGAGTCTCTTTTGAGGCTAGAATAACTTTTTTATAGTAACTTGTAGAGATGAACCTCTATAGCACGCCTTTAATCTTGTATCTATGCTTATTTGATTGTGATAAATAGCATGGGACTCATAACATAAATAGTAAAAAGTGGGTGTAACATTGTACAGTGGCATAATGTGCACCTCTGCCTACCCCTTCGAGGATAAAAGGCGTGATGTTATGTATGTAAATAACAAGTCTGGGTACATATTATGAAATACGTGGTTCAATTCCAATCTATGTGTTATAGTCAATTGCTTATTTAACACCGACCTATCAATTCCTATAAGGAAAAAGTAATAAAAAGTAACATCAATAATGAAGTAGACTCTCCAACATCACTACTTGTCAAGAACTGGAGATAGGCGCCATCTATCAACCACCTGTCGAACATTATGTAACTACCATCCAACTTTCCGCGAAATTAATGTATTAACTACAGATACTCTACAGCCATTAATTTAATTAGGTACGTGTATTCACAAACATGACCAATTTAATTATTTTTAGGATATCACCGTCTTGTGGAGCTAACTGCCACTTTCTATCGGCTTTCTGCCTCCCAGCTACATCAATATATGTTTATTTTATCTAAATGGTTAATTGATCCATCTTATGGGTAATGGAAAATGTTAATGTTTATTCATGATCATGTTAATCGAATGATATAGAGACAGTTAATGGTTTTTGAAAACATGTTAATTGTAATTTTTTGTGTAGATTTTATTGAAAGTCGTTGTTTTTTAAACTATTCGATTTATTTAGTAGGTACTAGCTGACCTGGCAAACTTCGTAACGCATATAAATTGTTTTTGTCATCTTTTAAACCTGCCCTCCACGAATATTTCAAGACCAAAATTAGCCAAATCAGTTCAGCCGTTCTCGAGTTATGGCGAGACTAACGAACTGAAATTCATTTTTACTTTTATATAGATAGATTTACATGGTAAGCATAATACTCCTTTTAACAATAATTACAATATTTTCACGATTTTATTCAGTATTAACATAACATATCATTTGTAATATGTATATATAAAATGAATCCCTTTTTCCCTTGGTCACGGCATCAC